GTGCGTGAGTGCGGTAAGTTGAGAGGCCATAGCGAGTAAGAGAGGGCAACAGCGAGAGAGAGCGAGAGCGAGGGCGAGGGCAAGAGCAAGAGCGAGAGCGACAGGTTGTTAGGTAGCCAACTCTATGATATTCACGACTGTATGCACGTTTTGAAGTGATTCCCTCATATGCTCTAAACCGCGACAGAGTGACACAAGTGGGCCACGGTAACTCGCCGACCCCCCTGAAGCCCACCTGGCCATCCATCAACCACCCTGATGCCCACCTGCGGTACTCTGTCGGCGACACCTCCAGCTCCTTCTTCCCCGTCTTCAGATTGACGACCGGCTCCACCACCACGTTCACAGCGGTTCCCACAGCCGCCGCCTGCCGCTCCGGCGCCAGGTCGGTCTGTCGCGGCTCCGTCTCCGGGTCGGTCGCCTGTGACTCAGACCCCGGCGCCCACACGCATCGCAGGTCCAGCCGGGAGTTGCCGGTGACGCAGACCAGGGTCTGGGCGGCACCGGGCGCCGCCGCCGGCGAGACCAGGTCGTGGCTGTGAGCCACCTCCGTCACGTGGTGGCCCATGAAGGTCATCAGCCGGCAGATGACGTCATGGACCAGCAGCTGGCGCTCGTCCGTCAGCGTTGTGTCGCGGTGGCCCGGTCCCGTGTCCAGGAACAGAGCTATGGACTGTGAACGGTGCATAAATGGAGAAAACGCGTCACGTGAATTGTTACCCCGAGATGCCCGACAAGCACGGTTTATCAATTAAAAGATGTCACATATCTGTTGTAACAGTCCGCTCTACTGCCACAGATCTGTTGTAACAGTCCGCTTTACTACGCTCAAGTCCATGATTGGCATGATGTTAAGCTGGTACTTACCGACCTTGTCCCTATTTCTTTCTTCATATTCATGATTGTCTGGATGGCGCCGATGACTACCGCAGGCTTTGCCAAGGTCATCAGAATCCTGCTACGGTCCAGCTCCGCACATGCGATCTGGTACCTCCAGTCCCTCGAAACCTTCGGAAGCACCTCACACAGCTGAAAATGACGCTTGGTGTGAATACACCCCATGTGAACTATTCATTTATAACAGCACTGGAGAAGAAACTTTGCTTACTCATGGACGGGTGGTTGAAATGGTTCCGCGACACAATTTCTAAAACAAATGTTGCTAACGACTATACTTCTACTATGCGACATCCCTCTGCGCGAGAAAACCTCTAACACCAATGCTTACACGCGCCATTGTTTTCAGTGCAAAACGCTTCTAACACATGAGGTTCTACGTGACAGAACTTCTAAATTTGCTACCTTAACTTAGCTAAAAATACAGTATCCTGGTACATCTTTTTATACTAATAAAGACTGTAGTAGTTTAACAAATTGCAGGACAAGAATGCATGCAGGACAAAGCCTCACAAAGTGCATTGAAGCTGAACTGTGAAAAACTATGACATATGCCCTAAAATTTGCCAGCCAGGATGTTTCCCTTGGATTCAGCCCACTTTGTCTTAAAGTTGAGGGGCCCTGAGTCAAATCTGGGAGGCTAAAGCCTGCTCCCCCAATTGGATGGAAAATTACACCCTTGCACATATGGGTCCAACCATCAAGATTGTAGGGAGGAAGCTGTTGAACAGGTATGAAGTAAGGTGTAATTACTGAAGTTTAATAGTATAGAACATATACTGATGATCACTGATAACAGTAAGCATGGAAAATGTAATGTGTTTGGGCTAATCCACAGAGACACAGAAAAAATGACCTTTGAAACATAAAAACAAGGAAACAACAAAATGATGGCCTGAAAATATATTCCTTTAAGCCCACAATGCATGCAAGACAAAGGACATTCGATCGATCATTTTGATCGATCATTTCGATCTATCGATCGACATTCGATCAATGCATATGATCTCACCTTGCGTAGAACGTCCGAATATGGGCTGGTCTGCCCTTCATGATTATTTGGGAATGATAAAATCATATGACACGGCTTGAGCGATGACCGCTTTCGCAAAATCTCTAGCGTATTTTTCTTCTCAGCTCGATTGGAATGCAAAAATTCTCCCACGAACGCCTTTAGATCGCACTGCCAATGAATCCAAGATAGCATGTTTGCACCCCTGGCCCTGTCCACTATCACCACAGAAACGTATCCTAAGCAAAGGCATCAGTACGTCCCCAAAGCGTAAGCGCGTAATGGGATTTTTTGAGGCTTCAACCAATGTCGTATAAGCGCCGTAAAGGTATATCGCAATGGACAGTGTCTAACAGACTGGCATATAAAGCAGATACGCTTCTCCTCCAAAAGTACCCGTTTGGTCACTCTGAAACTCTCCCCATTCGATGGAATGTAGAAAGATGAGTCATAAAATTTCAATATTAAGATCTGAGCTGAGGTTAACATTTTAAAAATGCGAAGTGAAAATTAATCATGCAAAAGCAGACAACCCTAATCTCAGAACCTGCTGCGCCGATTTCCGTGAAAATTTCGCCAATGGATGCACCATACCTGATTCCCTGATCAAGTTGCAACTGCGGTACCTCTTACAGTAATACCTTTTCCTTTTATGTTTAGGTCCAATAAAACACGCGAATTGCTTAGGCTGACCGTGTTATATTAGTAAAGTCATTTGTCAATTGAGTTTCTTCTTAGGGGCGGAGAGATTTCTCCCCTGAGAAAATTCTCCCCCTGTGCAGAAAATTGAGTATGTCTTGTTTTGTTCTCTGTGTGTCCTTGATCAACAAAAAAGGTGACGACAACCATGCATCTGCGCACAAAAAATGTATAACTGTTATTGTTGTAATGGACACGACCGCAGCAAAGCAAAACCAAATGCTCGCGCGCCTGGGCACTGCCAAAAACAACTGCATGGCGTAATGCTATACATCGCAACTGCCAGACAAATAAGAAAGTTCAAGCAGCAAGAGCCCCAATGACAATTGTAATAGCTATGATCTACATGAGTTGTCCGTAGTCTGAATTTAGCAATTTGTGACATTTAATGACTTGACCTGGCCTGGGTCTTCAAATATTTAATTGCCAAGGGGAAATCAGGTATGGCCCATCCAATGGTGCAGGTTTCACAGCGATTGATGCAGTAGATTCTGACAACTGAGTTGTCTGTTTTTTCATGTGAGATTTTCCATCCGCGTTTTCAAGGTGCTTGACCTCAGGTCAGGTCTCGATATTACCACACCATGACTCACCTTATTAGATGGACTCGATTTATAAAGGCTTTAAAGCGATCATAGGAGCCGTTTCCGAGTACAAACGTGTCTGCTTCATATGCGGGTTTTTGAAAATGCACCACGGGTGTGGCGCAAGCAATCTGAAACTGCTGCCTGACGCATTACGAGTGGATTACGGACGTTAAGGACTGCGCGTGAGCACAATGCCACCAACAGGTATATCCCGCCAGTAGATCCGTCAAATCATCGCCGGCTCTCAAGCTGAAAAATAACCCAGGACACGGCGTATTTACACAGATAGGATGAAAAGAGGACCTAAACAAAAAAGGCTTAGCCTGCCCCCAAAATACAGCAACAAACGGGTTTCTGTCCGGATTTGGGTCTCGATCTGGTCGAAGATGTTGGGCCTGGAACGCCAGCTCGGGGTGCGGGTGGGGAGACTGACCCCCCCCCCCCCGACCGAATGGGAAATCACACCCCTGAGCGAGCAATAAGGTTGGAGATTGCAAGAATTTCATCATAAGATATTCACCCATAATGAATTTATCATAAAATGCTTATCATCCACCACAAATACGTATCAAATCATTCATAAAATGCTCATCCCAGACGTTATAGTTGAAAAACTGGGGCCGGAAGGGACGAAACAACCTATGTTCTAGAGTGTATGGAAATATTTCCAGCGAGGTGTCTTGTAACTTGTGCGCAACGTGCACGTGACCACGTGACCGCCTGCGGTGCCGTGCTCAGGTCCTGATGCGGCACGTGCGATATCCGACACGCAGTCGGCTTGCGGCATCTTCAATACGGAGGTCTGTCTATATAAATGTTGAAAGGTACACAACAAGTGTTCGCTGGGTTGACTGGCCCTTTCTAGCCCATTCGGATAAGTATTGAGGCATCCAGAGTTCATGATGTCTAAAGGTAAAAGCATCTAAACTCGCAGCATCCGACTTTCATGACATCTAAAAATCGTCCAATGTCCATGCACAGAGAAGGGTCTCAACATCCTAGCTTGCAGCATTAAAAAAAATAAACGTCCAAGGTTCATAACATCCAGCGTGCATACCACCCAGCGCTCACGACATCCAAAGGTTGGAGAGCTGTACCAGCTAGTTCTTGGTAAATCTTAAACTATTGGTTTGGATATTACCCGATAGATGAATACCATAGCCGAATGTGGACGAGTGACGGCATGCGGTACGGTGCTGTCCAGTTAAACCACGATACATGGACATTGAAAACATGTTGTTTTTGACCGTAAACTTCACCGCATCAGCACGCCTTTGGCAGCAGCTGCGTATTAAAGAATTCGGAGCATTTATCTTTGGTTCGTGACCTCGAAGATCTCAGAATGTTCGGCATTAGCTGCTCGGTGTTCGTGGGAGGTTCTTGTCGGGGTACCCGCTGCTTTTTTATTGAGGGCTGTGGATACAATCCCTCCGTCGTGTTTGGCTCCCTTACTTGGTGATGCTTCACAAATCGTGTTGCTGATATAATTCATGCTTGGTGGACAACCATCTTGTTTGTGATAAATCCACGCATGAGTCCGACGATGATGGAGCACGTTTCGGAGGTTACCGCCGTAGTGGAACAGACTGGCATCTTTCTGAGAGCGTAAGTCGACGCAGCTGTAGGGTAGTTAGATTCGGGTTGCGTTATTTATGTGCTTCGGCAATCAATTATGGACAATGTAGCGCGCCTAGGGCCACATGACGGACATGTGTTATGGTAATTCGATGTTCGAATGCAGCACCGTCGCCAGTCAAAAAAAGAACGTTTCAACACAGACATTTGCATTGCAGCTATGGCAATAGCATTGGAGTGTTATTGCGATCGCTCTTGGGAGTTGACAGATGTTGTGTTCCGACCGTACGTTGCGGGCACTCTGACCCACCCGAGCGTACCTGGCGGCGATTATCGGTTGGGTTATCATTTCTATACCTTACGATTGCCCCTTTCATTTGCAAAAGCCTTGCGAGTCTGCGTCCTTTCCAAGACCACAGCCTCGCTGCAGCTGGCACATCGCAGCACGCACGGTAGCTCTCCTCATCGCATCCCCCGCTCCCAGCAAAAAATACAGTGTCAAGTGCCAAGAACGGTCATTGCCAGAGCGGTCAGCCACATCTCAGATCCCACAAATCTGCTCCGCGCATTACGATGTCGCATGGAGGTATTCGAGACATAAATCACGTTTGGACTCACATTTTCTTAAAGGATTCGTTGTCACGCCGAGCGAATTGGCCCAAGACGGAAAGATCCCATTTGCTCATCAAGCTCCTTGGGCGGAGTTAATCAGGCGCCTTCACGCCCTGCTCTGGCGTTGTCTGACCCCCGCGAGTGAGACTAGATTTCGTTGCAGGCTGCGATACCATGCAGAAAATTGTCATCTTAAGTAATTGTCGCTCTGTCGGGTACTAGCCAAATGAGGGAAGGAGACGGTAGCGCTGCACTGTTTCTGCTCATGGCCCAGGAGTTGAGACATCTAAAATGCTGTGACCTGTGATCTTCCTCTGCTGGGGCAGTGCCAAGAGCCTGTGTTTAGGATGTTCAGTTCAACACCGATCTCTTTTACAGATGGCAATGCGCCGTAACGGTGTGAGTCCTCAGCCAGCAACAGACCTTTTTAGGCTTTCTGTAAGGATGGCTGTTTTTATTCCCCATTTTTAAGGTGTGTAGCTAACTGCCGTCAGTCTCGCCGTAACTCGATGTCTGGAATCAGCGACGAAAACAACAGGCGTGTCTGATTGCGGGCTTTTTTATTCGGCTGACTCCCATGCAGTGTATCACTGAATACTGGCTTACCGGGCCAGGCGGCAATTTGCCATGTTAAGGCGTCCAATTCAAAATATTTTTGGTTAATCCACATGCACACGATATCATAGTGACAGTCCTATCTGACGGCAGTGTAAATCTCTCCTCGCCGATATGACCCTGCTTGTGCAAAGCACCCCGTCACGACGCATTACTAACTGTGGCCCTCTTGCCAGTAGTGTGATGGCCTTCATACGGTGGCACGTGGAAAATGTCAAGCATTGTGCGCGAAGAGTTCGACTGTGTGCCTTTGTTGACACTGCTATGGGGTGGTCAGCTCCCAGTATAACACACTCGTCAGATCAAGATATCCATTTTATTCGGTTGACTCTCCCACAGCGTATCTCTAACTGCAGGCTGGCCGGCTGCGATCTTCAGTGCCGCCGCAGCTGAGATTTGCAAAGTTGCGGCGTCCAGTTTAAATTGCTTTACTCGTGCGCGGCGGGTGTGACCATATGCATAAACAGTGCGATTGTGTGTATTCGACGGCGCTCATACTGCATGTTGAGCTGTCAGTACAAGACAATGGCCAGATTAAGAAATATTTCTATTCGGTCGACACCGACAGCGTTTCAGCCATTACTGGCCGGTCGGCCCAGCGACGAAATTCAAAGTTATGACGCCCAGTTTGAGATGTCTGAAGTTATATTCTCCGAAGATGGCTTATGGTTTAAAAGCAGACATGACAATTTAATAATTCAACACGCGCTTGGGTGGGGATCAATTTCCCGCTATACCTAGGTGTACCTGTCAAGGACTCTGACCTATGTTAGGTTGATGTCAGACCATAGCTGCCAGTTAAGGCAGTCCCCTGGCGATCGTTCAATCTGATGCGACAACGGAGTACTAGACTGACCGATTTATTTTTCATGCAGCTCATTAGGCGACAAAGCAATTGAATTTAGGACTTCGACGAATTACATTGACCTTGGGTCAGGTATGAGCGTCAAACCGAGGTTAAAACCCACCTGCTTTTTTAGTAGAGAGTTTACTTGATGAGATAGCTTTGAAGCTCATTTAGAATTTCTTCGTAAGACGGATCGCAACAGGCGTCTATCATGTACTTCTTAAAAGGCAGAATAGGTATTGCCCTAAAATGACTCACATTTACATTTTGTGTCTAGGAGAAAACCGCCTAGCGTATTCCTTCTGAAACTTATTA